TAAAACTACACCTGCTGTGTGTTCATGAGAATTTTAACACGGGTTAGTTAACATGGATTAAAAATGGCTCATGTTTTCCAGAGTAAGGCTTGAGTGTCTCCTGCAAGGTGCTGTGCCTCTTCATCTCCTATTGACTGAACCAGGAGTTGAGGGGGTCAGCACCACAAATGTAGGTTCCAAGTAAAGACTTCAGGATTTGTCCCTTTATGCTTGGATTGGCCCACTTTGATACACTGTCTGCTTTACACTTTGTTTAATTTCTGGCTTGTGAGGCTGTAACTTACTAAAACAGAAACCAAGATAGATCTGAGCAGCATTTTCGTTTAGGGGAAAATTATAGGGAAGGAAGGGAATGGAGACGGGAAGTATCAAAATAACCTTACTAATTGAATCTTATGTGTTTTGCCTCTTTTAAAGCATGTCTCTTTTGAGTCAGCAACCTTTCCTTTCTTTGGTACTTACTTGCCTTAAGGGACAGGATGAGCAACGGGAAGGGCTTCTAACATCACTGCAAAATCAAGTTAATCAGGTAAAACAAACACATAATACTGAGCACCCTCCATTTGATATTTGTGCCATCAGTTTTATGTGTATCGGATCATGCAAACCTGGGAAAGTTCTAAAGGTTCAACACCCTGATTTTCAGAAATGAATCATTAAATGAAAGAAGAATCAAAGATGAAGAGAACTTTAGTTTATCCGCTCATAAGAATGAGTAAATGTTCCTTTAATAGCAATTTAAAAATAATTTTCCCCTTTGCACTGACCAATAACTTTCTTAGAGTGTTTCTAAAAATAATAGAACAAAAATGTAAGTAATCCAGGGTCTGATTTCAGACCTTTTCTGAGAAGCAATGGTAGATTGTTTTCATGACAGGGAAATCCCTCCCAGTGCTTCATGTCTCCTGAGCTTATAAAATAATAAAAACTTAGATTTTTCTGGAAAAAAGGTCTCTTTCTTGAGTAAATGCATAATTAGAAATAGATAAATTATTACCAAAAAAATTAGTATCCCCAAATTATCCCATTCCCCAAAGCAAAGCAACCCTGCAACCTTTTTTCAGGTAACTTACACACACGCCCATACACCCTCCCTGCCACTTCTACACCAGTTCCTCTGCTCCCACCAGATTCCCACGCTAGCCCTCAATATTGTAAGCTCGTGGAGGTTGAGACTGTCTTTTTATCAGTGTGTGGACAGTGCCTGGTACAATGGAGCCCTCAAACCTGTTTTCAGTCTCTAGATGCTACTGCAATACAAATTAATAATAGCAACCTTCCCCCATATTCAGATCCAGTCCCTGGCTTTGCTCCCCATCCTCATTTGATCCATTCCTTGATGCTGCTTTTCTCCATTTCTGCTACTGCTCCCTGGCCCGCCTCTTTTTTTAAAACTATTTTTATAGGTTCTCACCTAAATCCATCTAAGCTCTGACTTGCACCCTCTTCCAAGCAATCCTGTCTTTGTTGATCTGTGGTGTCCATTAGGACAGAATGGAGGAGCAGCAGCGGCTGTCTGAGTTCCATGTGTCTAGCCCATGGTGCTATGATGTTTGGGGGAAATTATACTTTTAACAGACTGGATGACAAAACTGCTTATTTTCTCTTTGAAGGAAGTGTAGTAAGATATAGCCTCACAGTCAAAGCTAACAAATAAGTATCACATCTATTATCAAGCCCAAGTTCAATAAAGACATGAAGATTAAAAGTGAGAAAATTGTTCCATAGTTCTTTGTAAATAAGAAGACCGTATCAAGAAGTGATGGGTAGAAATATTTAACAGTTAAATGGGAAAAACCTACTTTTATTCAAATGGCTGTTGTTCTTAGATCCTAAGTAACTGGAGGGAAGAACGATACCAGGATGATGTTAAAGCTAGGCAGATGATGCATGAAGCCTTACAACTACGTCTTAATTTGGTAAGAAAGATGCATGAATATATTTCCCTTCATATTTATAGTATCTAAATTTGAAAATAGCCATTGACAGAAATTAGTTTGCAGTTGATGGTAAGACGCAGAGAGATGGAGAGTAACAAAGTCTGACTGCCTGTCTATTGGGTTTTATACTGCTGCCCATCACCATGGTATCTTAGCACCTTCTACATAAAATCAAATAGCAATAGCAAAGTCCCTAGCAGATTAAACTTTTTTTTTCTTTCTCTTGTCCTTTCTTCCCTCTTTTCCTTGTTTCCCTTCCCTGCAATATCATTGGAGAATGTCACAAATGTGCTACGTTTTTTTGAAAGCTAAAAGCCATAGTCCTTACCTATTTGGTCACTATATTTTGATATAAAACAGACATTTTTTTTGGAAACACGCACTTGTCACAAGCTCAGAAAATCTCAACCATAATTAGAAGATTCAGCCACATGTGGCAGCTGCATGGCTAAATTCCAAAGTCAGCTTTGACAGTTTCTACCTAGACCGCCAACTGCTATGTAAAAGTTAATGAGACTTTGCCTAAGAGCATTTTCTTTATTTTAATGTAACTCCCAATAAATGCTGAGCACAGCAGAATAGCCAATGCTTGGAAGCAGCATGTAAATACAAAATGGGGAAGCCCCAAAATAAAACAGAACAGCTGGGTATAATCAGGCAGCAGGTTTTAGCCAAGAAAGAAGGTGCAATGCTGGGCACCTCTACAACCTACAGGTCCAGTCCTTCTCCTATTTAAGTCAATGTCACAAGTAATGTGGACTTCAGTGGGTGCATGATTGGGACTTAGGACTGTTAGTCTGCAAATAATAAGAACATTCCTTGTACAGAAAAGCCAGTGTGGAAACAGTGATCTTTAAAGCTTTAGACTTTACTGAGGAAGACTAAATTGTATCTATAGTGAGAGAAGCAACAAATAAAGATTTAATTATTAAGTATCTTCCTAGTATGTGGCTTAAGACCAGAAGTTAGAACGATCCTCCCTCCAATCTAATCTTGATGAGGAGATTTATTGACAGGGCATTGGCTATGGAGTCCCAGCTCTTCAGCAACTGGGATGTGAGGGACATGTGCTTCCCATGGAAAAGGCATCAGACTAGTTTCAGCCATTCCAATCTAACTATGAACCAGTGTTATCGGTCAAACGTGTGCTCAATGTTATCCTTCAGATCTTTCAACAGCAGCAACATTAACTATTTTTAGTCTAATTTTGGACAAAGAAAAGTGATACCCTTTAAGGATATGATTCAACACTCTTTGAAATCAGTGAGAATCTTTCCATTGACCTCAGTGGGTGTTGGATCGAGCGTTAAATTTGATATTGCTGATCTTTCATTTTTCAGCACTTTTGTGCAGTGTTGTTGTGCTGAGGCAGGGACAATCAAGTCTTTTTGCCAAAGAATTTATCAAGTTAATGTATAAATTATTCAGTAGAGAAAAAAGCCATCATCATATATAGTGTAACTAATAAATATTCAAAGATATAAACATATTATTTGAGTTCTCTCTGTTCTCTTGTTTTGCCTGTAGGTGGGTGGAATGTTTGACACTGTGCAGAGAAGCACGCAGTGGACTACAGACTGGGCACTTCTGCTGCTTCAGATAATTACTTCAGGAACTGTTGATATGCAAACCAACAAGTATGTTACTCTTATTATAATTCAATAATTCATTAATATCTATAATGCTTTGAATGAAAATCCAGATAGTCATATTTAGGTGTTTATTGTAGCTTATTGTAGTTACAGCCCTGATTTGGGGAAGCACTCCTAGGAGGGACAGCACTTAAGCAAGAATTTAAAATAAAGTACCTCCTTAAATACTGTTCTGAATAGGAATGTATTTAAGCATGTGCTTAAGTGCTTTCCTGAATCAGGTCCTATTTTTTCTAATGACCATTTATGCCGGCAATTTATGTGATGTTACAATCTACAGTGGCTCCGATTTGCAAATATTTGTGTGCACATATTTGACCATGCACTTGTATGTGTACAGGGATTGTACAAGCTCCCTGGAGTTCATGTGTATGCACAATATGCTTGAAAAATCTGGTCCCATATGCCTAAATAAGTGTCCGTAGTCTTTGCCATAATCTATTTCTGAGATGTATTGACAATCATGTTACTATAAACATAATAGAATTTTAAATGTTGAGTTAACAAGATGTGTCAGTATTGCTCTTCAAGATGCAACATAATACTTGTCTCTTTACCTCTTAGTGAATTATTCACAACTGTGCTTGATATGCTGGGTGTTCTCATCAATGGAACTTTAGCCTCTGACCTATCAAATGCATCCCAAGGGGGGTCTGAAGAGAACAAAAGGGCATACATGAATTTAGTGAAAAAGTTGAAAGTAAGTTTTGGACCTCTGATTTTTAACTGCACTCCTGTTAAATCACATTTTAGGCCCATCTTTTAATCTTATCAGTTTTATTGTCAGGGCGGTTGAAAGGAAAAGAGATTTCAGCAACAAGTGCCCTAGCAATACCCCGAAGGAGTATCGTCATACTTTTAGCCATGTTTGAGACTTTTAAATCAGCATTTCACTTAAATCCTGTTTATCTCTTCAGTGTTCTGTTCAAATAAAAAGGAAGTGCACAAGGCAATTTATAGGTGCAACAAAGGCCAAGCTAAAACACTTGATTATATTTAGTAAAAGTACAAGGAAGTGATTCATCTGGGAACTTGCTGTCTTTGAATTGTGAAAGCATTGTAACATTTTAACTTCTCTTTTTTGTTAGAAAGAGCTAGGAGACAAGTGTTCGGAAAGTATTGACAAAGTTCGCCAGTTGCTACCTTTGCCAAAACAGACGTGTGACATTATCACCTGTGAGCCAATGGGATCTTTGATTGACACCAAAGGAAACAAAATTGCAGGATTTGACTCCATAGATAAGAAACAGGCAAGAGTAAATGTTTACCTTAACATCTCAGTTTTATTATGACTTTCTCATGCATATGAAAGTCAAATAAACAGTTTGATATAATTTTTTACAGTGTCTGACTGTATCTGAAACTTATGGAAGTACTGTACTTCTGTTTTAATGTACCTTCCTTAAAAAACAGAAACAACAGCTGGTCTTTCTATACATAATCACTCTAAAAATGGTCATAATGTTACCAAGTTGAGAGGAGAAATGGATGTTCTTGGTAGATCGATAATTCTCAACCTCATGGAACAATACCTTTTAGAAAAATCTTTTTCAAGATAATTTATCTTTTACTGGTACAGGTATGCTTTAATGTCAACAGAGATAACAACATACATTTTTATTTGAGTTGTATGAAAATTCACACTCAGTGGGTGACGCTTTCTAGATTTCATTGCCAATGAAAACTCAGTCCATCCTCAAGGAACAGCTCACTGATATTTGCAAATGTTTTGAGAAGCTTGGATAGATTTGGTTTTATGTGTAAGCAATGGAAAATGCTATGGTTTTTACATAGTCTTGTGTAACTACCAAGCAAAATTCAGCAGTTTTGATTGTTTCACTTCATTTTTGATTTAATTCATTTATAAAACTGGCTGTACAAAACCCACACAAATTAAAATTGAATGAAAGGTTACTATGAACTCCTACAAACAAAAGCCCCAGAGTTTGTGATTCAGGTTCAATTACTAAGATATTTAGTTTTGAAATTTGTATTGCTTCATTTTACAATCTAGGGTCTTGACTGCCATCTGATATGCATGTTACCAAATGGAAATAATGTATACCTTGGAGGCGACTAGCAGAGTAGCTCTGAGAAAAACTGTTTCCCCACTGAGACACAATCATCTATCCTCACTAACAGCCTTTCCCAAAAAGTGAAGTGTGCTCTCACACAAGGTCTAGCCACAAGGCACATCAGACATATAACTAAAGATGGGTATACCTTTAAAAATCATTGGAGGGATTTGGTAGAGAGGTAAAGGAGCTCAATTGATTTAGTTTTCCTGAAGGGAGAGAGTGGTCTCTGCTTCTCAACGTTTGGGAAGTGCTGCTCTATAAAGCAAGTTAAATCATGCACATTTATTTCTCCTTTCAAGGAGGGTCTTTTGGGGCTGGAGTGGGCAGCTTGAGTTATCTCAGTGCTATTATGTGAAACTGGTATGTTGGAAACACATTTCTTATTCCAGACGTTTCATAAACGAACAGTGCAGACCAGTTTCCTTGGATGAGTAGTCCTCAGAAAGCTGTCGAGCTTCATGAACATTTACATACTTTTTACATATTTTAAATATATGTACTTAATGAGTGTTTTGGTCCTATGTCTTAATCTGGCGATTAATAATTTTTGTTGTTTAAAAGGTAGCTTCCTTGGAAATCAGTGCAGATAATCTGTTGCATGATAGATGAAACGTAAGAAATTTATTGGAAAATAAGCACATTTTCAAAAAATTCTGTACCGCTATTAACATACAAAACTGAAAATGTAGCTTGATTCATTCTAACAAGTGCCAGCCTTGGATGCTAGTTGAATCCCCATACAAACATGTAAATGATAGTTTTTGTGTTGAGGGGAAAAAATATCCATACAGTGGTTTTAACCATAGTACAAATTCAGGTAATTCACATTATTTTGTTGTTAAGATATCATTTTAAGAATGCTGTTTTACTTTGTATTTCGAAACAGGGTCTTCAAGTATCAACAAAACAGAAAGTGTCCTCTTGGGATTTATTTGAGGGTCATAAAAATCCTGCCCCACTCTCCTGGGCTTGGTTTGGTACAGTTCGTGTGGATAGGAAAGTGATAAAGTATGAGGAGCAGCAGCATCTTCTCCTATACCACACACATCCCAAGCCCAAGCCACGAAGCTACTACCTCGAGCCCTTATCACTTCCTCCAGAGGAGGAAGAGGAAGAGCCTACTACACCCGTTTCTCAGGAACCAGAAAGGAAATCAGCAGAGCTGTCAGATCAGGGAAAGCCTACCACAGACGAAGAGAAGAAAACAAAAGGCAGGAAAAGAAAGACAAAATCAAACTCAAGAGCAGATGTAAGTGACTAAATGTACAGCATTAAGTAACCAGGTAGTTAAAGGCTTTTTGCTGCAACGTGTGATTGTCTTCACTACCTACAGAAGTTGCTCAGCAACTTGCAAGATCAAGTGCTAAGAAGAGAGTAAATGGTAAAAAAAATTAAGCAATAAGACAAAATGTTACCAGACAAGCCTGCCTAAAGGATTGATGTATAGGAATGCACTGTGAATTAATAATACTTGAAAATTAATATGAAATCTACTGAAACATACTACAGTAGCACCTCAGAGTTATGGGCACCTCAGGAATGGAGGTTGTTCATAACTCTGAAATGTTCATAACCCTGAATAAGACTTACGGACTTCAGCCATAGGGTGGGTTGGGGCTGCAGCCACAGGATAGGCGAGGTCAGGACTCTGGGTTGGGGGCGGGAGGTGTCGGGGCTTCTGACAGTCAGGATGGCAGGGCTCTGAGCAGGAGGCTCAGGGCTTCTGGCATGCGGGAGCACCAGGGCTCAGGGCTTTAGACCTGGGGGTAACCTGGGGCTTGGGGCTTCATCCCCGCAGCTCCACTCTGGGTTTTAGCCTCATGGTGGGTAGCCTCCATTCCTGGCTTCCACCCGGGGGTGGGGGTGGAGGAACGGTTGCCAAGGTTCAGGGCTCCCCACGGCTCTGCTCTCAGTTTCAGCTAAAACTGGCACTCCCCCTGTAGCTAGAGCCCTGAGCCCCCGGCATCCCCCGCAGGGCTGAAGCCAAGAATGGAGCCTCAGGGCTGGAGCCCTGGGCCCCAGCACTCCCAAGGGTCTAAAGCACTGAGCCCTGGTGCTCCCAAGGGTCAGAAGCCATTTGGAGCCTGACCTCCCCCACCCTGCAGCTGCAGCTCCTCTTGCCTTTCCCTCCCACTCCCCCATGGCTGAAGCCCTGAGCCCCTGAGGCAGTACAGTATTTTCGGGGGTCGGGAGGGGATTGTTGTCTTGTTTTGTCTCTGCTGCGGCCTGATTGATTACTTCTGGGTCCACATGGTGTCTGATTGACCGGTAAGTATGTAACTCTGATGTTTGTATCTTTGAGGTTCTACTGTAGACTGGATCTGAATTATTCAGGCATACCCACACATGGTTGTTATTTTTTTCCCTTGCTTCATTAGAGAAGCACCTGAGTTATATTTTGGATACATTTCTAAACTTCCCAATATCAGTGTGTGTTTGGAACTTGGGCTTTGGTTGAGGCCTAGTTCATATTAAAGGGACATGGACAACTTGAAATAGGTCACTAGAATCTAATAAATGGATTAGGGTTACCATTCGTCCGGATTCCCCCGGACATGTCCGGCTTTTTGAGCTAAAAATAGCGTCCGGGGGG